CCTGAGCTCACTGCTTCCCTTCAGATGCTCAGCAAACGTGGGTTTGTTGGGAATTTGCCAAATACAACGGAAAATGTGTAGAGTTTGGACACAGCCAGGCACGCTTTGAATTCCAGGTTTCCTCTCCCAGTGTAAGATTCATGGGCAGAGGATGTCTCCACCTCCCCTCCTCCCTCCGTACACCTTGAAGAAGGTCAGGCATGAGCCTACGAGGAATGGTTGCACGGGTGGTGCCTGGTGCAGGAATGATCACCGGGGCACGGTGCCTGGTGTGGGCTCAGTGCCTGGTGTGGGAATGATCACCGGGGCACAGTGCCTGGTGCGGGTGTGGTACCTGGTGCGGGAATGATCACCGGGGCACAGTGCCTGGTGCGGGTGTGGTACCTGGTGCGGGAATGATCACCGGGGCACGGTGTCTGGTGTGGGTGCGGTGCTGGTATGGGCGTGGTGCTGGTGCGGGAATGATCACTGGGGCACGGTGCCTGGTGGGGGCTCAGTGCCTGGTGCGGGAATGATTACCAGCGCACAGTGCCTGGTGTGGGCTCAGTGCCTGGTGCGGGAATGATTACCGGCGCACAGTGCCTGGTGTGGGAATGATCACCAGGGCACAGTGCCTGGTGCGGGAATGATCACCGGGGCACAGTGCCTGGTGTGGGCATGATCACCGGGGCACGGTGCCTGGTGTGGGTGCGGTGGCTGATGGGGAGGACCTGGTGCGGGAATGATCACCGGGGCACGGTGCCTGGTGTGGGTGTGGTGGCTGATGGGGAGGGGGTGTAGGGGCGGGTATGACATGCGAGGCAGCAGCCCTTGAATCACACCCTGAGCCTTGCGGTCTCTTTGCAGCTCCCCCCACCTTTACAGAAACACCCCCCCAGTACATTGAGGCCAAGGAGGGGGGCAGTGTCACCATGACCTGCACAGCTTTTGGGAACCCCAAGCCGATTGTCACCTGGCTCAAGGAGGGGACACTCCTAGGTGCTAGTGGGAAATACCAGGTAGGTGTGCTGTTGGTGGGGCCACTGCCCCCCCCTTCTCCCTCCCTTCTCTCTCCTTTCTCCCTCCCTTCTCCCTCCCTTCTCCCTCCCTTCGTACCAGGTAGGTGTGCTGTTGGTGGGGCCACTGCTCCCCCTTCTCCCTCCCTTCACCTCTTTCTCCCTCTCCAAGGCGGTCTCCCTCTCCATGGGACCAGTGACGCTGTGCAAAGGCACAGGGAGATGGAAGCAGCAGGCACACTGGCTGGGGCCTGTTGTTGGAGGGAGATGAAAAATGAGGCCCCTCCTCCGTCTCCCCCAGTGCGTGAGCCCCGAGGCCCCCTCCACCTGAAGGTGGCATTGGGCGGGCTCCAGGTGGTGCTGAGCTTCGTCTCTCCCTGGTCCCAGGTGAGTGATGGGAGCCTGACGGTGACGTCGGTCAGTCGGGAGGACAGAGGTGCCTACACCTGTCGCGCGTACAGCATCCAGGGAGAGGCAGTCCACACCACCCACCTGCTTGTGCAAGGTAACTGGGGTCTCCCTGGCTGCTTTGTGCCTGGGGCCTTTCTCTGGGAGCCCCGCAGAGTGTGATTGGCACAGCTGGGGGCAGGGGGAAGTGGGAAGCTGTGAGGAGCCGGGCAGGGCACCTCCCAAGTATCACAGACTTCACGCTGCAGCTCCCACGGTGGCCTGCCGTGGCTGTCACCTGGGTGGCCTGAGGCCCATGCTGGGTGGGTTTCTGTATCTGCCCAGGTAGCGTTTAAATAACTGAGGGCATTTGGCACTTGGTAGAGCTGGGGTCTGCACGGGCAGCACCTGGAAATGCCAGGCTGCCCTGCCCGGGGCCCAGAGGGTTCAGAGGGGGGCATCTGGGCGGCCAGGTCTCTTCTTTGAGCTGAGCCCACCCACCTGCTCTGCCTCTGCCCGCTGCCGGAGGTTGGTGGTGGCTGTCCGGGCTGCCAGGACGGCTGGTCAGCTCTTCCTGCCTGTCTGCTGACTGTTGTGCTGAGTGGCATGGGGCTAGGGTTCCCTCTGCAGTTTGGAGGAGAATTGGCCTCCTGCAGGAGAGCACGGCCAGGGCAGCTGCAGCCTGCCTGGAAAGCCAGCCCGGGGAAGGGGATTCTACCCTCTGTTTGCTCTGCGCCCCCCTACCCCAAATCCTCCCTCTGGGCGCCCTCTTACCCTCTGCTGGGTGAGGAGGGCATGCCTCTCGCTCTTCTGGGGCAGCATTGCTCCTTGCTCTGGACTGAGAGAGCTCCGGGGGCCTCCCTCAGGGCTCTCGGAGAGAAGATGGGCAGGAAGGACCCTGTGTGTGTGTGTGTGTGTGTGTGTGTGTGTGTGTGCACGTGTGTGTGGTGTTAAATGGCTAGCATTTGTAGAGGGGTTATGCATGGGGGCAGGGGGCAGGTAGGTGCCAGGCATCTCCCACTGGCTCAAGGGGATGGGGCACACATCCAGTACCACCTGCATCTCTGGGACCTGTAGGCAGAGTAAGGACCTAAGCACTGACAGCAGTGAGAAGCGTCTCCATGACAACGGCCTGGGGCTGTGCTGCTACCTCGGGCCAATGCTGCCCCAGCCTCCCTCTCGGTTCCAAGCACCAAGCACCCTTCCCAGAGGCCCTGGTGCTCCCTTCTCCCTGGCCCCGCCCGGTGAGGTCATGCTGGTTTCCTGTGTCCCCAGGGCCTCCCTTCATAGTGTCCCCTCCTGAGAACATCACTGTCAACATATCCCAGGATGCTCTGCTTACCTGCCGGGCGGAGGCGTATCCCGGCAACCTCACTTACACCTGGTACTGGCAGGACGAGAATGTCTACTTTCAGAAGTGAGCACCCTGCCCAGACCTCCTGGGGGCGGAGCGGCCAGGGGCCCCGGGGCCCGGCCTCCGAGCAGGGCCTGCTGCCAGCTGCCCTGCGGCTCCGGGAACTTGGAGGGGGTGGTCCGTGCACAGGTCCCGCCTGTGAGGGCCGTGTCTACACTGAGAGGCCCTGGGTTGCAAGGGCGCACTGGGCTCTTCCTCGTGCGTGGGGGTGAGGGGATGCGTTGCTCCCCTGGTGTTCATGGAAGATCCTTGTCTTCCCCTCCTCTCCGTGTCGCCTCGTCTCCTCTACAGTGACCTGAAGCTGAGAGTGCGGATCCTGATCGACGGCACCCTGATCATCTTCCGGGTGAAGCCCGAGGATGCAGGGAAGTACACCTGCGTCCCTAGCAACAGCCTGGGGCGCTCCCCCTCGGCCTCCGCCTACCTGACTGTGCAGTGTGAGTAGGGGCAGGGCAGGTCTCAGCTGGTGGGGGTTGCGGAAGGTTCGGGCCACCTTAGCCAGACGGGAGGCTGGAGGGCAGCCTCGGGTCAGGGGATGTGGGAGGAGGAATGATGGAGACAGGAAGCCAGGACAGCCCAGGAAGAGGCCCGCACCTGGGACCGTCATTTGAGGTGGTGTCTTCGGGGGGCCACGTGCTGGCTGCCTCACGTCGGCCGAGCCAGCCTCAGGTTGGGGTCAGGGGTCGGCAGATCTTCTGGACAATCGCGCTTCCACTGGATGCCAGCCAGCACCTGTCTCCACCTGGGGTGGGACACTTGGTGGTGTTTTTTCTCCGGTTTCTGAGGAGGTGTAGCTTGAACCCATGTGGGGTTAGATGTCCATCCGCCTGGACGGTGTGAGGGGCCGGGGGACAGGCCCTTCTTCCGGTCCAGCTCCCCCAGCACCTGGCTCCCTCTCGCTTCCTCGTGCCCCTTCTCCGGGGCTGCCGAGCTCCCAAGGAGTGAGCTGCTCTTGTGCCAGAATGATGGGGGGCTTTTGTGCGAGCACAAGAATTCACTTTCCTGATCTTGAAGACTTCAGCAGAGTCACTGCTCCCCACCCCCTGCGAGCCAGCCATTGTGAGAGAGAGCAGGATGAGCCATGAGGATTCATCTCTTCCTTTTGATTTGCTGATGGTCCTGTCACTCAGGCAACAAAGGCCCAGTGGCTGCTGTAGGTGACGGGCTCTCCATCACTTGAAGGCAGGAGAACTGCTCACCCTCAAGGCCAAGGCGGGGAGTGGCAGGGTGAGGAGGGTCACCATCTGGAGACCTGGAGTCCGCGCTTGAACTGGGGACAAGTAGAACAGCGGGTGACCCCAGGAGGCGGCTCACCTCTGACCCAGCCTCGCAGAGCTGGGCGCTCGCCTGTCTGCACTGCATGCATGTGGAGGTGGAGCCAGCGGGACCCGGAGCCTGCCAGAACTCCCACGCTCCCGTGCCTACTGCTTTCTTCCCTGTGCAATGATTTTGCTGCTTGCGGCCCAGGCATCACCTCTCCACTCTGCTGGCCGCTGACCGCGAGGTCTGTCCGCGTGCTGTGTCAGGAGGCCCACGTTGCTAAGAGCTGTGAGGCCCAGGCCAACAGGTCTGTCCCACCCAGACCTACAAGTGAGAAAAAGCCAGGCAAGAAGCTATTATAAGCGACTTACCGTGTGCCTCGCGCTGTGCCGGACGCGCAGGGACCAAGGGGAGGGGGACGCCTCTTGGAGCAGCATCCGGGCTGGCTGATGTCATCTGTGCGGGAAGGTGGCAGCGGCGGACAGAGAGAGCAGCAGGGGAGTCTCGGAGGGGCGATGGCTCTCTCCAGGACTGAGGCCGGTCCTCCGAGCCATGGGTGCTTCCGTCTCCCTCTCCCACTTGTCCCTTTTTCCCTCCTTCCTGCCTTCAAAGAGAACTCGGGGTGCGTGTGAGATTTTTCAGGTGGGTGAGACAAGGATCTTTATTTCTGCTAAAAAGCAGTGTTCAGAGTATTTCCCATTCATAAATGCTTTGAAAACCTTGGAGGAAAAGGAAGAAAAAAAAAACACACACCCTCTACCATACAAAAGTAGGAGGCTCTGTCTAAATATATACCTCGGCCTGGTACTTATGTAATGCTGTTCTCTGAAGAGCTCCAAGTGCTTGAAGGATCCCAGCTCATTCATCCTCTCCGCCTCCCTGGAAGTTCCGCGTCTTTCCCCTCGGTAGCCCTCAGGGAAGTCGGGGGGGGGGGGGGGGGGGGGGGGGGGCGGATCGGAAGGTGATGGATGACTCACCCACATGGCAGGATGCGCGGCTCTCGCTGCTGCCCCAGGAGCCTGTCGTCGGCTCTGTGGCCTGGGCTGAGGGTGCCCTCCAGCTGCACAGAAGGGAAACTGAGGCCTGGAATGGCAGCCAGCAGAAGGGACAGAGAGGAGCCATCTGTGGTTCGGCCTCGCCCACCTCGTGCACAGACGGCCATTCATTCCTCTTTGGGCTTAGGGTGTGGAGCGAGGAACCGGCTCGGTGATAGGACTTGGGGTCAGCAGGTGGGGGAGGGGATGGTCAGGGTTGGCTTTGAGGGTGGGAGTCGAGGGAGGGGCTGGGGAAATGGACAGGAGAGCCCGGCCCTTCCGGCAGCAATGTTCACATCTGCTGGGCTGGGGCAGGCAGCTCGTGCCTCAGTGCCTCTGGGCATTCAGAACAGAAGCGCTGGGCATCCTGGAGGCCGGGCAGACAGAGCCTGCAGCCTGCACTGGTGGCTCAGCGTGGCCTCGGGGCCATCAGCCCAGGAGGCCGGGGTTTGGTGGCCGCGGTGGGCCCAGCACTCAGCTCCATGTTGAGCACTGAGGACACCAAGTGTTCACTGAGCGGGTGGAGGGTGTGAAGGGCTGTACTTTGGGGGGTGCCTGTGTGGTGGCTGGGCCCCCGCCTGGAGTTCTCTCTTCTTGATTTCCCTTGTGTCTTTCTTCTCTCCCACCTGACACTACGCTTTCCAGACCCAGCCCGTGTCCTCAACATGCCCCCCGTGATCTACGTGCCCGTGGGAATTCACGGCTACATCCGCTGCCCCGTGGACGCAGAGCCGCCGGCCACCGTGGTCAAGTGGAACAAGGATGGCCGCCCCCTGCAGGTCGAGAAGGTGCTAGAGAGACGCATGTGGGGTACCCATGAGACGCACCCTCCCCACACTAAGGTGCTGCCTCTGGGGGTCTGGGTCCTGCCAGGAGCCTTCCCCCGAAGCTCTGGCAAGCTTAGAGCTGCTGCCCATGGGGGTCCGCAGCTGGCAGGGCACCGAGACACCCCTTCCCAGGGCAGCTGGTCTCTGCCCAGCCTGCCCCCAGGGGGGCTAGTGGAGCCGCCCTGCCCGGGTCTGGCCCTGTTGGGGCCGGGACTGGTGGGCACCCCTGACCGTGGCCCCGCTCTGCTCCCTCCGGCAGAATCTCGGTTGGACCCTGATGGAGGACGGCTCCATCCGCATCGAGGAGGCCACAGAAGAGGCCCTGGGCACGTACACCTGTGTGCCTTACAACACCTTGGGGACCATGGGCCAGTCTGCTCCCGCACGGCTCGTCCTGAAGGTGAGGCCCGGGCTGCAGGGGCCTCTGAGCGGTGGTGCCTGGCCTTCCCCCCTGTGCCCACCTCCACGCCCATTGTGCTCCCTCCAGGACCCCCCGTACTTCACGGTGCTACCAGGCTGGGAGTACAGGCAGGAGGCCGGCCGGGAGCTCCTGATCCCCTGTGCTGCTGCGGGGGACCCCTTCCCTGTCATCACCTGGAGAAAGGTACCTCTGGGTCCCGGGGCTCCCGGGACGTGTGCTGGAGGGAGGGTGTCTGTTCTGGGGGGCCACGTGCCGAGGGGCCAGGGGACTTCCCGAGGGCGCCCTGGCCGGGGGCGTGGAGGGCGGTAGCACTATCCTCCGGCTCCTCCGACCCTGAGGTGTTGGTGGCTTCTCT